ATTAGATACACTTTATTTGGTAATCAAAGCAAGTCTCTCATATAATAGATCTACTAAAAGACTATGTTACTATATTACTAAAAGACTACAAGAACATATTACTGTACAAACTGCAATGTACATGAATTAAATGAACATTTTTCCATTAGTCAATATTATTACTGTTAAATATTTATTTAAAAACTGAATGAATATAAATTTACACACATTTACTCAAGTAAAAAAACAGAATTAATAATGGGCTAAAAATCTGCGGAAAATAGTCGGAATTCTGCACGCGCAGATTCGTGTGGGCCTACCCATTGCTAACTGTGCATTCACACAGTTCTTGACTATAAGGGCATGTCTGAAGTTAGGGCTAACGCGATCGTCATAGCAGCGTCAGCCAATGAATTTAGTCCACAATCGGCTACTACCTGACTGGGATATTTACATAAAACGATCTGACTGGTCATTCCGTTGGCACTTGAAAATTTGAGAATTTCCCAACTTCTGCAGAGAGCAACACCACTGAAGCTGCGCCAATGGATCCACAATTCAGTACCGCAATGTACCATCACTCATTCAAAGTGAATGGGAAGCAATGAAGCTGACGGCCCATGTAAGCGGGGTGTACTTGTAGCCACATTTTACGACAGGAAAAAAGCACATAGCAATGTTTGGCAACAAACAAAATATGAATTTGAGCATTTGTATGCACCTTCATCTGCTTGCATGCATAGCAAGACATTTAAATGCATCTCGTGAGCAAAATGCTCGATTTGCGCCACTTCGAATAACGCAAATTCATGCGAATAGCGTGTGGCATGTCTATTCGCATCTTTGCATTGACTTAAAATGTAATTCACTTGCGCATGATGCTTCATCCGCGTCTGGAATAAATAAATTAATATTAAAATATGTCATAATTACAATATGTTTATGTAATTAAATTATGTGGCATATTGCTTTTTAAGTACCAATTGTAGCCACATTTTACGATGGGAAAAATTCACACAGCAATGTTTGATGGCAAACAAAATTTGAATTTGTATGCACCTTCATCTGCTTGCACGTATAGCCGGAGACATTTGAATGTGCTTTAGTTTGTTTACATTAAGGAGTCTTTCTTAGTTTGAATTATTCACTTTTTTATTTGGATTTTGCTTTAAAATAGAAATTTAATAATTGCAGAAATTTTGTATTGTAAAAAAAATGTATTGTGCAGCATGAGAAAAATCAAAGGATTTTTGTACACCTTAACTTTGTTGCAAATAATTTTGTTAAAAAAATTGTGTATTGTGAGATTAGTATTGTGAACCACATTGTATCATGAGTGAATTGGTACATCCTTAACTGTAGAGTACATAAACAACATGTAAACTTCTATACTCGGCATAACTCACTGCTGTTTAGAAGCCTACGGCTGGGTCCGTAACTGCATACTTCCATACTACATATATAGCATGCTAAAATCAGTATGCGAGCCGAGTAGTATGTCCGAATTCATAGAATTCGAAAATCAGTATGCGAGAAGTACCCGGATGACTTACTACTTCCGGCGAGATTCTAGAGTGTGCATCCCATGCATGCTGTGCTATTCCATGATGCCCCGCGAGCGAATTCATGTATGGGAGTAAAGCGACGCAATTGATGCAGGTAGTTCACGTGACCATGACAAAATGGCGGATGTAGTACGTTCGATTTCCATTCATACTTTTCATGTTCATACTGTATAGAACGTACTTTTCCAACGGCCGAGTAGTACGTTTAAATTCAAATGCAGTACCTACTGTGTAGTAAGCGGTTTCGGACACAGCTTACCAATTCAAATTAAGCAGGATTACAGAAATGTCACTACAACTACTATTTTAGTGCGTTCAAAGTTTGCTGTAGTGTTTCAGATTTTTTGTTGAAATCTTAATACAACAAAATTTTTGACTATTATTTTACAGCAGAGAAAAAAAAAATTATTATGCTTACCTCAAAGACAGCACTCTATTATTAAATAAACATTTGCTGACATTTATGATAAGCAATTTTCCTATATCTGCTGTTGTATCATACAAAACATATTTTAGGGTTGGTTTATAATGCTTTATGCAGTCTGATAAAACACACAACATGTTAAAACATCTTCAAAGTTTCAAATGTTTTCTATGAAAGCAAATTTGAAATCGAGGGTGTATGACATTAGTATAGCTACACAGGACACTAGTTAAAATTGCTTAAGTCAGCAACATATACTTTAGAACACTTAAATAAATACTTCAATAAAAAGCATACATATTATGCACAAGTGTGGTTATTTGCACTGAAAAGTCTTAAGGAACTTTATAAAGGAAACATGAAATGCTAACGGGTGTTAGCAATGCTTAGTGCAACACAGACGCTAGTCTACAGACTTATTTGTGTGAAAGTATGCTGTGAAAAAATAAAAACCCCACAAAACAAGTGTCTGCTTCAGTTTATAAACAGAAACAGAGCATTAGCTTTAGCATTAGCATAGTATACTGTCCATCAAAGAAAACAAAGCATTTAGTTCATAAGAATATCATTAGCGGCAGGGTTCCATTTGTAAAACAAGTACTCCATCAATCACCAATATTTTATGATGATTATCAGGATTCAAATCACCTCCACTGTTAAGTGTGTTTTAATGGAAGACATTATGTTTGGAATAGAAATATCTGAATTCCAGTAAAGACAGAAATAGGGGGGAAACTAAACAGAGTTCCTTGTTGTTCATCAATCAGAGTATTGAAGAAACAGTTCGAGGTTATGCTGTGATTCATCTTTTTTTTTCCAACGCTCATCAATAACTAACTGAGAGAGTGTCGGAGGTCTGGATAACTTCACAACCTATAAACAGACATGAAGACTAAGTATAAAAAAATCTGGACATCTGGAATCTAGAATGGAGAAAATGATAGCGAATGAATCAAGAACCAAACTAACTCAAAAACTGACAGCGTCTGAGGGAAAAAAATAACTAAATAAATAAATAAATATAAAAGGATATCATTTTAGAAGTAAAACTAATTTATAAAGTACCATATTGTCCCAAATACAAGGCACCATTTTTTTAATGGAAACAATATGTTGTCTTATTTAAGGCTGTTGCATCAATAATACTATACATCCATAAAAATAGGTGGCGTCAAATACATGTAAACGAGTTACCCTGGCCTATACTGCATGAAACGATTGATCTATGATTGTTAGATGCAATAATAAAATGATAATACCGAATGTTATTTAGTTAAATACGTCATTTTTTTCTCAAAATAGTGAGATGTTATTTCATTAAAACGGCATCTTTTCTCACAACAAAATGTTATTTCATTAAAATGGCATCTGTTCCCGCATGAACAAAATGTTACTTAATTAAAACGACAAGTTTTCTTTTATTAACAAAATGCTATTTCATTAAAACAATGTTTTTTTTGTATTAATGAAATGTTATTTCAATTAAATGACATGTTTTCTCACATTAACGAAATGCTGTTTCATTAAAACGACATCTGTTCTCGTATTAACGAAATGTTATTTTATTAAAATGGCATCTTTTCTAGTTTTAACAAAACGTTATTTAATTAAAACGACATCTGTTCTCATATTAACAAAATGTTATTTCATTAAAATGACATGTTTTCTCATATTAATGAGATGTTATTTCATTAAACAACATCTGTTTCGTATTAACAAAAAGTTATTTCATTAAAACGTCATCTTTTCTAGAACAAAATGTTATCTCATTAAAAAGGCATCTGCTCTCGTATTAAAATAATGGTATTACATTAAAATGACATCTTTTCTCAAATAATGAAATGTAATTTCATTTAAACAACATGTTTTCTCATATTAACAAAATATTTTTTCATTAAAATGACATTTGTTCTTGTATTAACGAAATGTTATTTCATTAAAGCATCATCTTTCCTTGTATTAACAAACTATTTTTTTCATTAAAATTACATGTTTTCTCACATTAACGAGATGTTATTTCATTAAACAACATATTTTCTCGTATTTATGAAATCTTATTTCATTAAAACAACGTTTTCTCACTTTAACCGAATGATATTTAATTAAAAAAAACATCTTTTCTCGTATTGACGAAATTCTATTTAACTAAAACGACATCTCTTCTCATATTAACGAAACGTTAATTAAAAAACATCTTAATTATCTTGTTTAAATGACACACAGTATGTTCCTCGTAAAATGTACAATTATCTAGTTAAAACGACATGATTTTCTTGGTAAAATGGCATACTTTTCTCTTTAAAACAAGGTTTTTTTTTTTTACATGACGTAACTGTTTTATTGGAATACTGGAATGGTAAGAGCATTTTATTACACAATATTAAGAGAAAAGGTGTCATTTTATTTAATTAACATCTCATCATCATTATGATGAGCTGTTGTGTTACCAAAATAACATCTCATTAATGGAACACATTTAATTTAGTCAACATTATTGAGGGGACAAAATAATTTGTGTGTGGCAGCAATGTCACTGTACAAGCATGGTGAACATTTGTAATTGTTGTATTTAAATCACTTTGACATTTGTTCGTTTATTGAGATCACGCTGTGTAATTAGCACCTAAATGCCAAATGTGACGCAGTAGTTTTTTAAGATTGACTGTACATCTCTTTACTCTCTGTTATGAAGCTAATGAGCTTAAGAATGATTTATGATGTGTATTTAGGATATTTTGTGTGGTTACAAAACAGTCTAGGTAGGAATTTATATACAAGAAATTACAGAATGTTGTTCTACACTAGAAAAAAGTAAAGGAAAAGAAACAAAATCTGTAATGGTAACAGCGTTAATTGTTACTAATTGGCATCATCAAAATGTACAGCAATTTATATAACGCTATGAAGAATTTAAATTTAAATATTTTCTTTGAAAAATTGTTGAAAAAGGGGGGGTTATGTCATAATGAGGGTCATCTTATATTATGTAAAATACAATAAATATGTTAATTTAAATGTATTAAAGAACTCACAGCCCATGTCTTTGTGAGTCTGAAGATTGGGGCGCTCTGTAGAGCAGATACCACTGCCATCACTGCGTGGAGACTGTTCATGTCACACAGTTTCTGCAAGAAGAAAGGAAGAAGAATGTTAGAAGCTAAAAAAAACATAAAACTCACAGTATGCATTCTGACTTTTGTTTTTTTACCTTTGCTGTTCTGATATAGAGGCTCAACACTTCTGCTCTGATCTTTAGAGTCTGAGCATGAAGAATCTCCCTCACCACCCAGAAACTCACCTAAAATCACACAAAAACACAAGACTCATCATTACTGCTGTAGTTATGGTTCAAGTTTTTTCTTCTGCGAACTACTCCATCAAATCCAAGCTTTGCCAGACAAATCTACTTGTAGTGTGCAGAGACTCTTCACAGGTGTGGTTGTTTATAAAAAAAAGACAAAAGCATCATGAGCTAATTATCTGTAGTGCCATCATTATATATACAGTAGATTTCTTACTGAAATATTGTAATAAACAGGTAAAAGAAAGACAATGAGGAAAGCAAAAATGAGATCTGCAAAGTCAATAGACAAGAACTGGAAGAGATTAAACAAGAAAAGGAGAGATGACAAGAGACTAGGTAAGATAAGAAGAAAGCAATACAATGAGATTAATGAGACTGGGAGATAAGAGACCAGGGTTTGGCTATTTATTAAGCTTCTAAAGTGCCATTGAAGTGAATCTGCTGTTAAAATTGAAGTATTAAAAGCAATTAATCAAATATCTTGAAATTAAGAATTACTTTTAAGCCTAATCTATAATTGATACTATGCCTAATATATACTGCCTGCGTAGCTGACACCGTTGTTAGCATTTATACTTCTGAACTGCTCTGTAATAACACTTCTGCCACAGACTTTTGCAGGGAGGCTGAGGAGTGTGATCACCCTACAGGAACACACTTTCTAGTCCACCTGAATGGGAACCACCACCCCAGCTGCCCAGTCCAGAGGTACTGTCCCTGACGGCCATGTGATATTGTAGTGGCATGTCAGCCAAGACAGCCCCAAATATCCAGAGACTCAAGGTACATAGGGTGTATCTCATTCATCGCCGCTGCTTTGCCACTGCGGAGCTTGGGTGATGGATGCGTCAACACCTTCATCCCCATTCTCTGCTTCCTCAATGGACAACATGTCAGTGGGATTGGGGAGATCTTCAAAGTATTCAATCCACCATCAGACAACATTTCCAGTTGAGCTTAATAGCTGCCAACTTACACTGTGAAGTTTCTTCAGCTTGACGGGATCCCTTCCTTCCAGTGTCCACCATCAGGTTCGTGGATTGACGCAGGCACTACAGGCCTTGCATTCACAGCTCATCTTGGCCACATCAACAATGGAATCAAAGAACATGGCTACTCAGTCTCAATGTCTCCAGTGTCCCAAGGAATCTGGTCAAAGTTCTTCCAGAGGTGAGACCTGAAAATATCGCTGACGTGGTTCATCCAGCCATTTCCAGAGGACCGATACAATATGTTTGGGCATTCCAAGTCTGTTTGGCCTTCCCCTCTGACAGGGGATCCAATTCACCACCAGGGGGTGATCAGTGAACAGCTCTGCCCCTCTCTTTACCCGAATGTCAAACACATAGAGTCTGAGATCAGATGATACAACAACAAAGTCAACCACTGAGCTTCGACCTAGGGTGTTTTGATGCCACATGCACTGATGGACATCCTTATGCTCAAAAATGGTGTTTGTTAGAAACAGAAATTAGCACAGAAGTGCAAAAACAGAACAGAACACCACTCAGATTCAAACTAGGGGGGCTGTTCTTCACAATCATGCCACTGAAGTCATCTCTCTCATTACCCATGTGAGCATTGAAGTCCCCCAGTCAAACAAAGGAGTCCCCAGTCAGAGCACCTTCCAGCACCCCTCCCAAGGACTCCAAGAAGGCTGGAAACTCTGCACTGGTGTTTAGCCCTAAAACAAAAACTACAGGAAGAGACTCATCCCTGACCCAAAGGAGCTGGAAGGTGACCCTCTCGTTCACAGAAAAAAAAACTCCAACACATGGAGCTTAACTAAGTTGGAGAGCTATAAGCAAGTCCTCACCAGCTCGCATACTCTGCCCATGGGCAACTCCAGAGTAGCAAAAAGTACAGCTATTCTCAAGAAGTTGAGTTCCAGAGCCCAAGCTGTGCATAGAGGTAAGCCCAACTATCTCTTGTCTCAGGCTCAGACTCCTTCCCTCCCAGTGAGATGACATCATTCAATCATCTCCAGTTTCACAATGCACCGACCCTTACAGCTCTCCTTTAGGCTGAAATAGTCCATCTTCTTTGGGATGAAACCCAGCCACCAGGTGATCGCAAATGAGCACCAACCCTAGATCTGGCCCCAGAGTGGGGCCCTGGCTGCATTATACAAGTCAACGCCACAGTCCACACAAGGGGTTTTTGTAACTTGGTGTTAAAAATGAAAGTGCCCTAATGTAAGCTTTGATCCCAGTGATGTAAGTGTAAAGTGGCTTACACTTTAATTGTGAATGTTTGCCACTTTTCTGGAAGTGAACTCTGGAACGGAGCTCAATTGGACAACTTCTTCTAAAGAATCAGTAGTTTTCAGGACAATGCGAAAATTTTGTCTTTTCTTCAGCTGTCAGTAAGCATCGTCACTAAGGGAGTGCTCACACTAGGTACAGTCACCTTGAACCGTGCCGAAGCACGATAGTCCCCACTCTCCTCTCACCAGATGGCCTGCACTCATACTGCCATTTGCCTTCCGAACCCAAGCTTGCTTAAATGATTGATGATGCGACTGTTCAGTTTAACAGTAAGAGAAACACTCGCGCTCAGCACGGCGGAACCTTCATTGATTATATCATTTTAGTCATTTAGGATGCAGTGTAAAATAATTTGCAGAACAGATCCACAACTTTTGACGCTCATAAATTATAATGAAAGTCCTTGTGCTGCACGTATTAGAAGGTTTGCTGAAGGTGCAGCTGACATGGAGCGATTGGTTTGCATCTTTAATAAACTATGACAGTTAGCGTTCATTGAACAGTAAAAATGATTATTAAATCCATATAAAACAATAGCTTAAAAGTGACGTTGTGTCTTCAGTTTCACGCTCAGGCACGACTTGCACTCACACTACAAGCGTATCGCACCAAAGCCCAAATGAACCATGCTTTGGCACACCTCTTCCAACCAGTCCAGAGCTGGCCAACTGAACCACGCCTGAGCCTGATTTGGAGCTCTCACACTTGTTAAACAAACTGGGAAACGCACCTGGGCACAATTCAGATAGCATGGTGCTAGTACGCCCTAAAGGTGTTTCCTGACCAGCAAATACACTTCTTGGTGCTTCCTGTGTGCACTGGCCTTAGATCAAATATGCAAAACACTGAAACAAATGCATTAGCTTCATCTCTCTCTATCTAATCTTCACCAATATGCTGGTGTGTTATCTAAAACTAAATGCCTGACAATGCGTCATTCGAGTGGACCTGCACTATGGTGGTTGAGGACAAACAAAAAAGTAAAGGAAGAAACTTGAAATTTGACAAAATGAGAATTTAACCGACAAGACAATAAAGGTAAGAAACTGAACTGAAAAGATGCATAAAGTAAAGAGAATAAGAAGAGACGGGGAAAAAAAGCAAAGTTAAAAAAAGTGAATGACCAAAGTAAAAAAAAAAACATCACACAAGATGAAATATTGCATTTTAAGCAGCAGACGTTATGTAACTGCAAGCATGGATTGTTGGGCCATCCATCACTCTTCATCTTTTCCTTGCTCCATATCCTTCCAACCCCTGCCAACCTCAGCCCCCCTCGTCCGTTTCCATTTGTCCTGTTGATTTTCCAGGCTCTTCTTTCCCACATGTCTTTATGCTGGGACGCACACGCAGTGAGGTCATTGTTTCAGCATCTCCCCTGCTGCGTGTTCCCTTGTTTCTTAATGCTAGATCGGATCACAGCGTCTCTGGGTAAAGCCGGAATGCCTCAAACCAGTGGAAAGGGTTTAATTCTACAGACTAATGAAGAAGAAAAGCAGCAGGGTACTCCGGACATTTACACTCAAACACGTGAGTGCAAAAACTCTGTTTCATGCAAGAGTACACATTCACACCAGCAGCTGCTTCACACACACCTGCACCTGTGTTACGCAAGAGGAAACCCTTTTTTGAGCCTGATTTTGAGACTCTTGGACAATATTTAAGCTCTGTGCTCCTCTTATTTCATTTAAGTCCAGGAAAGCATGACAACGAAAGAAGGAAAGAAAAAAGCCCCAATAAACTATAAAATAAATTTCTCCCAATTATAAATTATTTTTCCTTAAAATATTTTTACAGGTTAAAAAGTCAGACAGACAGACAGACAGACAGACAGACAGACAGACAAATTCAGATTTTCACAAAACATTATTACCGAGTAGTAATAAAAAAGGAGGAAAAATAATGAACAAGAAAAAATCCAGGCAAAACCAAATTGTTTTCATAAACCTATTAAAATATGCAAGATGATTCATAGCTTTGAAAATGACAACAATAATTGATTTAAAATAACAAAAAAACTCAAATTAGGTCCAATTCTTCTGCTTTCAAGTCATCATACAAATTCGCCGGTCACTTTATTGTGTACACCTGTCCAACTGCTTATTAACACAAATTTCTAATTAGCCAATCACATGGTTGCAATTCAGGCATATCGACATGGTCAAGAGGATCTGCTGCAGTTCAAAATGACCATCAGAATGAGAAAGAAAGGTGATTTAAGTAACTTTGTACATGGCATGGTGCCAGACGGGCTGTTCTGAGTATTTCAGAAACTGCTGATCTACTGGGATTTTCACGCACAACCATCTCTAGGGTTTACAGAGAATGGTCTGAAAAAGAGAAAATATCCAATTAGTGGCAGTTCTGTAAGCGCAAATGCCTTGTTGATGCCAAAGGTCAGAGGAGAATGGCCATTCAGGTTCGAAATGATAAAACGGCAACAGTAACTCAAATAACCACTCTTTACAATCAAGGTATGCTGAAAAGCATCTCTGTATGCACAACACATCCAAAAGACCACATCGGGTGCCACTACTGTCAGCTAAGAACAGAAAACTGAAGCTACAATTCGACAGGTTTACCAAAATTGAACAACAGAAGATTGGAAAAATGTTGCGTGGTCTGATGAGTCTCGATTTCTGCTGCCACATTTGGGTGGTAAGCTCAGAATTTGGCATCAACAACATCCTGACTTGTATCAATGGTTCAGACTGGTGGTTGTGGTGT